AGTATTACAATGAAAATGCTGAATTTCTAATTCATGTTTTTCCGTATGTATTTGCAAACAAAAATGAGTGTACTTTTCAAGCCAGAAATTTGTTTCGTTCGTGCATATGTGTGTGTGTGTGTGTGTGTGTGTGTGTGTGTGTGTGTGTGTGTGTGTATACACACACGTGTATAATTTGAAAAAAAAATCGTTAAAATAGAACGGCTAAAAGTGTATTTGAGAATCATCACCCTGGTTAATTATTAGTTAATATGAGATATAAATAAGTGCCTTTGATTATCGCGATAGCGAGTGGTGGCCAATAAGAGGCATAATTTTATTAACTCTCTTAACACACATTACACCTAATGCTTATTAATATGTGCAAAGAACAGTTACTTCGGATAAACAATGGGCGAACGAAATTTTAATTTTAAATCGATTGTTAAATGAGATTGGTTCGAACGAGTCAAATAAATTCTAAGCTAAAGTTGTAAATTTTTTCAGTCGGCGGCAAGAAGTGCGCCGCAACATTTTTGAAACCTACGCGAAACGACACTGCTCGACGACTTTTCCCGAATTTTACTGCGCCTGAAACACAAAGGCTAACCGTGTTCGCACTCGCGGTTACATCGCCTCCGCGCCAAGAGTGCACAAAGTGCGCCCGCGCGACAATATCGCAGTCTCTAAAGTTTAGAATTGCAGGGGCGAGGGAGGCCGCGCGGCTTCCCGGGCTAAATTTAGCCCAAGGTCGCCCTGCCGCGCGACCTCTTTTATTTTTCAGGTCTCCGCGGGTGCGGAGGATCACGCGTTCCCTAGAGGACCGCAACTTGTTTTATTTATCCGTCAACAACTCGGATTATGGATCAATCGAATTATGGAAACGTATAAATATGCGTTTGGCTCGGCTGCGTATGTGTTATCCGGCGGAAAGAAAAGGTAGTGCGGGAGTGCGAGAGACAAAGTGCGAGAGACAAAGTGAGAGAGAGAGAGAGAGAGAGAGAGAGAGAAAGAGATAAAAGTGTTTTTTCGCTCTTTGACCTCAAGATCGCTCAGCCAGCACGGAGACGCGTGTCCTCTCCTCTGACCCCTAGAGCTTTCATTTCTTCCTTCCCTTTCTTTTACGCACTTTTGACCGCGTATTTTGAGTGTAGCCTTTGACCTTTCATACTTACCGAAATGTAAGCTCAAAGAAGCGAAGAACGTGCTTGGAAATGAAAATTTCCGGCGCGTTACGCCGCCTTGCGCTTGTTTTTTCTTGTGCGATAAATAAGCCCGCGAGAACGGAAACCATGATTTTTTCAAGGCTTTGTTTAAGCGCGCCGAAAAAGTACGCTCACCATGCCCTATGAAATGACATGCGGAGCGAGAGAGAGAGAGAGAGAGAGAGAGAAAGAGAGATTACCTAGATGCTACATTTTCTCCCATAAAGTTGAAAAGGAAATGCTTCGTTTTTACCATAAATTATACACGAGGCTAAAAATATAATCACAGATACGTACTTTCTTGCAATCATTCTGGTTAAGCAACTGAGTCGTAGTTAGAGGTTGGATAGGTAATCACTACTTCTCCGTGATTAATGCAACGACACAACATACCGACACGCATCGGCTCACCAACAGATCGACGACACATGCGCAACATACCGACATTCCATCATAGCAAACTGCATTGGAAAAACGTCATCTTTAAACCACAGCTTAGCCAAATTTGCAAAAATCCGAGGCTGTGATGGTTTAGCTGTAGCGTAAATTCGTATATTTATTGGAAAATTTTATTTTCTAGTCATTGATTGTTCTTTAGTCGCATCAAATATAGCAGAATGAATTCTTTTTGTTCTTCTTGTTTGTTTACGAAATTGTCCTTTTTTCCCCAAGTAACTGTATTCTAATATATTAATCTTTTACATCATATCTCGATAAGCTTTAATAGTTTGAATTCACATTTACATTTGCATTCATAACTATGAAAGTATTCAAATCAATATATATAATCATTGAGCACCAAGTTATTATTATATTGTATTTTCAACGTATATCTTCACTGTTCATACTTTCATCTTTCCAAAAGTTTTACCAAAAAGCACTTTAAATTAAAAATATAACTTCAAAAATTGTAAGCTCTTTCTTTAAAATGAATTTTACTATCCTTTTATTTATACATGAAGTTCCAAAAAGGCGATGCACATTAATTTCACGGATTCCTTTATTATGTGAATTATGATGCAATTACTAGTTATATTATTGGATGAAATCGTTCTTTCGAATAATTATGTATATATATATATATATGTATATTTTATATTAAAAAGTATTTAAGTTAAAATTGTTGCGACATTAATTTCAATAAAGAGTGACTGTAACATTTTTAATATATTTGTAACTTCGAATAATTTGGTGATTAGCAACGTAAAGTTTTATTAACCGCATAGTCTTACATTTTAAAAGCACAATTCTAAGTATTCAATTGTTTACACATGTTAATTATGCTTAACGTTTAGATGTAAGCAACAATGGACATA